CTTTGGAATATTTCATGTTTTCAGCTCCATGTTTGCTGATCGACCTGTGAGCATGTGGAGAAAAACTACATCTGAAATATAAAAGTAACTTTCTCATTTCTGCTCTTTTTCACATTGACTGAAGGCATAAAGCTGCGTTTGACTTCATAGAGTTTAACTGTAAATTAAAAAGCAACTCGCGGCCCGGAGCTCTCCCCGCTGCGCACGCTCTTTGTGTTTTATAGAGATTCATTTCAAACGGCTCGCTTCCAATGCCTCTATTTGTGTTTGCGTTTGAATAAGACAGCAACAAAAGTAATTTGGAGCTTTGGAGTTTATGTCGCTACAGGTTTCCTGGGAATAAAAACGCTGGGACGTGATGGAGTGCGAACGCGGCCGTGTGCCGGGAACAACAATATAAAACAGACAAAGAAAATTACTTGTATTTTCTTTGTGCTGCACGGTGGGAACATTCATTGGATTGTGCCCCATCTGTTGTAATCAATAACGTGACCATCTTGTTTTTTTATGAAATGCACTTACTCTTAATTTCATCCACCAGTGGTTTTAGAGAGAAGAATGTGGAGTTACCTATAAGGCTCTGACATTATAAATCACCTCTGGAGACCAGATTGTACAGCAGTATCGATTGATCCTGATATATCACAGAAATTTACTGTCACTTCTGTTTTCAATTAAAGATACAATCAGTCAGATAATGACTTAATTGGATTTTACAGAAGATTGAGTTTTATCGCCCCGTGCTTTATGAGTTTAGTTAAGGAAGGCCGTTTTATCACAGTTGTCAGGCCGCCGCTGCCTTGTCCTTCTGTAGCTGCTGCCCCACGTACAGGCAGGGGAGAAAGTGTCACAGGGTCTGTTTTCCTTGAGCTGCCTCCGCCTCCATGAATCACGCCCTCCCGTAATAGATAAAATCTGCTCGGATCCCGCCGTGACACCTCCTCGGGGAGTGATGGGAGCTCGGTGCAGACGGTGTGGAAGGGGATGCTGCAGGTTCAGAGACGGAGGAGGAAATTTCAAACCCTGGGAACGGCCAGAACGTTCACTGTTGGAAAGGAGAGAGTTCAAAGGTTATTTTATTGAGACGATATTTTACTGTGTAGATGAAACATTCTACATTAAAGGAAACCAGTTCTCCCATTCTACTCATTCCCAGTTCCATGTTTTTATTCCTGAGTCTACTAGAGCAGCTTTGCATGATTCACAATTCAAAATAAGCCTCATACATCTTATACTACTGAAACTAAAAATGTGTTTCTAGTTCAGTTTTTATTTGCAATAAATGAATAAAAATTTGAATAAATGAATAAATCCAGAAGTAGGAAAAAAAGTCTCACAGGGAGTTCTTCTACATAATTACTTACATTTTTTGTCTTGTTTAATATGATTGTCCTCCATAATAACACCATAGTGTATATTTCATATTACAGAAAAAGCACAACAGGTGCCCTTTGACACGATGTCTGCGTCTATATTTAGCATCTTAACACTATTTTCTTGCCAGTTTTCACTTCTGTGAACCAGGAGAGCGTCTCACCTTTAACATATCACCATCAGCTCTGTTTACGGCCACGAACTTGGACTCGAGGATTAACTGAGCAGAAATGTAGCGGTCCTAGTCCACTGTGATGTCACAAAGGACATTTTTGGTGGTAACTGAAAAAACTGCAACATAATTTCACTGAAATGTCTAAAAATAGAAGGAGGTCAGAGTATTTTACAGTTGGTCTCATGCTGTCAGCACTGACGTGGCTGTTTGGGTCCAATGAAGGGTTTGCAGAGAAACTTGTGAAAGAGTGATGTTCCTCTGGCCTGATGTTTTGTTCCTTCTGACTCGTCATATTTTTAGATTTCTTCTCTTCTTTTTTTTCACTTTAATTACCACTAAAAGTCTATTTTATATAAAGGCTGAGTTTTGTTGGAATATTCTGCCTCCACTCTGCATACCTTAAAAAAATGCAGTAAAATTAAAGCGTGTACTTCAACCAAGTATTCTGTACGTATTAGCAGCCACTGAATTCAGCTGGTTTACTGAGAGCACGACTGTCTGAAGGACAGAACGAGCTTTGTTCATAAATGTCTGTCCTGAAAGCCGAGCATCAATAAAAGGGCCAAACTGTGAAGACTAACTTCCCAGGTTCACCCTCCCCTCATCTGAGACACGGAGCAGCCTTTGGGAGGACAGAGTGCGACCAGAGGCCTCAGTCGTGGCCTAATTTTGGTATGAAGAGATTAGTTCATCGTTAAAAATGGCCTTTTTTATACTTATCTATATCTCAAAAAGAGATTGCAGCCTTGCAAGACATGCAGTAAAACACCAAGAGGCTCTCAAAGTGGTATTTTGTTGGCATTCCCCTCTGCACCCACAATTACATTTTTAAATCAGCTGTTTAAAAAAATCCAGTTTTATTTGAATCTCAGTGCCAGAGCAGCAGGCCTGCATCAGCACACTGTGTGAGATAATAAGCTCATAAAATAATTATACAAGAAAAGCAGAAAATCTTTTGAGAATAACGACACGTTAATAGTTTAGCACCGAAAAATCTAAATGATTCTTTAACTCATGAAATTATGTGAAAATTGTTTTCATTCCTTCGAATAATGAATCACATTTTGTATGACAACTTCAGATTTAGACCACTTTGTATTAGTCCTGTTTTTTTTACTATTATTATCGCATCTTTCCTTTTCTGTCCTTATCATCATCAAATTGACTTCCCTGCCCGGCACCGACAGGGTTGAGCAGCCGCGTAAAGAACACCATAAAATTTTAGCCATCTTCAAACATTTTATAGCTTTACATGCAAGTCAAATAAAAATGACCTGCCCTCCTTAATGATGACAATAACGTTTATTTATTTATTTTACAAATGTGAGATAATAAGAGGCGAAAGAAAAAGCTCCGTTTGAGATGTTAATATGATCTATAACTCTGAGACTGATAATATTAATGACACACTCACGTGTGCACGCTTTGCTGATATTTCTGTTTAATTTATTCAGTATTTTGTTTTTACTGCCCGCTTATAGATTTTCTTGCAGCGGTCTTAAAAGCACAGCCTTTCCCTTTTTGCCTGGATGAAGGCTGACGTCTGACTGATGTCCTCGGTCAGCTTTCTAAAGACGTCAGATGTCCAGCTAATTCCTCTGTAGGAGCTCGGTGTCCCGCCTCCCCAGGGAAAGTTAAATCAACATTTCTGTGACAGGACTTGTGAGTGGCAGCGACGCCCCCAATCAGCACCTCATAAAAACCTCACTCAGCAGAGGTCAGCTCCTCCTCCTGCTCCGGAGGGGCCCGCTGGAGGAGTTCCCTCAGCCAGCATAAACAGGAACTCCAACATGAGGAGAGACTCAAGTGCAAAGTACTGAAAGCAGCGTGGGAAGGTTTTGTGTCGTGAACAAAACTGCCTAAAATAAACACTGGAACTCCATTTATGAAGCAAAAACTGAAAAAAGGCTTCGACACATTCATCTGAGTCCAGATTTCCAGGATGGAGGTGACATATGGTTTAAGCTCACAGAGCTCTGTGTGACTAAGCAATGATCTCTCATAATAACAGAATCTATAATGAAACCAAGTCAGCGTGGCGTCTCGAAAAGATGCACTTTTATCCAAATACACTCATAAATAAATATAAGGAAAATATATTATATCCAATATAAAGACACGTTAATCATCCTCAGCTGACACCTTAAAGAGAGAATCATTATTTTTACATTTTTTCAGGTAAATGTTGTAATCCTACAATATTACAGTATAAATGCTTCTTTTCCTGCTTTGCTGACGGATTATTCAAAAGTAACAAACCAGTGTTCAAACTGTGTGGAGCTGCCAAAATAATGACATTTTTAGTCTTTTAAATTCTCCTGCGTCTGTTGTCGGGATCTTATTCTTCTAATAAACGGCACGTTGCTTTAGGCACATTATAATTTTGCATGTGTAAAAGAATGTGTGACTTTGAGCTCATTTTAAATACTCTGTATATGCAATCCTGTCATTTTGAGCCTCTACAGGACAACTTCACGTTTCCTATAGAAGGCAGAACAAAGCACGTTTTTCAAATTCACCCACATATGTGAAAATATTGGATATAAATATGCTGATGCACTGAGGCCATACAGCACCACACACAGAACGTCATGTATTCATTTACTT